AGAACAGCATTATTTTGATCTTGGTAACGATTTATTTACCAAATTGGTAAAATTATCAAAAGACGAGATTGGTAACAAATAGTGTAATCAATGCGCCCCTGTTAAAAATTTTTCTAAGCTTTGGTCTTTAAAACTAGAAAAAGGTTATTTAAGTTTGGCTATGGTTTTGTGTTGGTGGTGTTTTGGTCACATTCTGTTACCAATTTTGTAACGGTAAGAACTTTTGCATCTAAAAGTGATCTTGGTCGTATTTTTTACCAAGTTGGTAACGAATTTTGCACCTTGCAAGATTTTTAAGAGTGAGTTGAGTCGAAACACGATAAATATTTAATTGGCTGTCTGCGCATAACGTATTTAGATTTTGACGGCGGAATTAGTAAGCAGCATGTCTTTGGTCGCTTGGTGCTGTTTCTTGTTCGCTAATTGGAGACAATAATTGACATCATGGCATGACTTGAGATTGGAGATGACACAAAACCGCACTCGTTTTTGTGCATCGTGCAGGAAGGATGCCACCTCATTTTTTTTAATTCTTATAACAGTTTCCGGGTCACGCACATGTAAATATTAGTAAAGTGGTTTAAAAAATATCATTTTTTTCATAAAGTTAGCAAAATTTTACAGAAAAATAACAAGGTTTTCAATCCAAAATCAGGTCACAATTTGTGTTTACGATGATCCCTCATTTATTTAGCGTCTGTTTTATTTTGTGCAATAATTTAACATAATTAATAAATTTCGCATTTATGAATGTGCATGCAAATCAATATTGTAAAGTTTTGCGAAATTGTGTAAATTTCAAAGCCCAATTTTACTAGAAAGGATTTGCAATTTTCGGTGTAAACATTCCCCAGAAAAGTGGCATATTTTCAATTTTGTAAGAGTAAAATTTCGAGAATTATATTTTACAGGAATGGTAATGCGAATTTTGGAAATTTAGATGAGAATTTCAGTCGGTAGTAGCACGAAATGATTAACTATGCTTAAGTCACATTTGTTTTGCCAATACTTATCATGTGCAAAAAATTGCCATTCTTTATTTTGCAAGACTAAAAGCTCGCAAATTGTATTTTAAACGAGTTGACCATGTGAATTGGTAAGTAAGATGAGATAACCTCTCTTGTAGTAAATTACATTTTTTTCTGCTAATAAAATCACAAATCCTCCCGTGTGCAAAAAAATTGGCATATTTTCTGCACGGCCCTGTTGATATTTGTAATAATAAGGTGTAGTTAACATGCCATGATGAAGTTCTTAATTGGAGGAAAAGAATGTGAAAATAGGAGCAGCAGCACCCATGTGAAATTCGTGCTATGAACACATCCACGGACCCCATTTGTAGGCTGGGTTGATTTATTCGAGGCGAAATGATTTATCTGCGAGTGTTCTGCTCAGAGGAAAACGTGGACAAGGACAAAATGACGGAATGGGACAACTGTTGGTTGGTGGAGTACGTTTTATCAAAATGTATCCGAGGAGGGATGAGCTAATATTTAGTATTAAGTAGGTGGTGAATTTTTTCGTAAACTGTGTAAATTTTATTTTTCATAAAAAAGATTTCTAAAATTTCGTAAATTTCCAAAATTTGCAAAGTTTACGGAATGGGACAACTGTTGGTTGGTGGAGTACGTTTTATCAAAATGTATCAGATGAGGGATGAGCTAAAAGTATTAAGTAGTGGGTTATTTTTTTCGTAAACTGTGTAAATTTAATTTTCGTACAACGGATTTCTAAAATTTCGTAAGTTTCCAAAATTTGCAAATTTTACGGAATGGGACAACTGTTGGTTGGTTGGTGGAGGTTACGTTATATCAAAATGTGTCGGATGAGAGATGAGTTAAAAGTATTTATTAGTTGGTTCTTTTTATTTGTACGCCGGTGTAAATTTTTAAGCGAAAGTTTTTGATGGAGGGATTCTTTTTAGGAAATTGTGCAAATTTATTGATTAATTTTTGTTGCAAATTGTGCAAGCTTAAGATTTGAAGAAAGGGTTTTTGTAAATTTTAAGGGCAGTTTTTGAAGGACGGGTTATTTTTTTTTAACTTTGTAACTTCTTTGATTATTTTTCTGTAAATTGGGCAAATTTGAATTTTGAAGGGTACTTTTGTAAACTGTAAATTTATTTTTAATTTTGAAGAATGTACTTGTAAATTTTATTTTGCGAATAAACCAAGCCTATCAAATCTTTGAATTTCTAATCTAACAAAAATAGCAGATTTTATTTACCAGCGTTAAGTCTAATTAAAATTGAAAAACCTACAGTGCAGATTCCATATAGCCCGAGTCAGGGACAGAGTCCTTGACTCGATAAGTCCGAGTCCGCTTCTTGTCCGAATTGAAATACATACTAAAGCTGCATATAGTCCAGCCTCCATACCAAATTTCAGCTCGATATGAAGATTTCGAAAAATCAGTATGGGTCACCCCCAGGTTCACTCTGGTTGCATTTTGCAAACTTTTAACTTCATATTATTTCATAAGAAGCCATTAACCACTTCACCCCTGAGAAACGCATATTTTCATACCTTTCACCCCTAGCAACCACGAATTTTTACTTCCCTTGACCCCGCAATTTTCACCTACTGCATGACGTTAATTACTGGGAGATCAACTAAAACATGGTGTTCCCACCTGAATTATTCTGGACACTTTTTTATGAAAGTTGATGCGAATAACCATTTTGGCATGGATATTGAGCCGTAATTTGCATCTTTGCGTTTTTCCGAACCACTAATGTTTATAGCCGAAAATAGCCAACCCGCCGAATTTTGAAAATGATTGTAATCGCATGGAAAGTTAGACAAACATGGAGTAACCCTTGCATAATAGTACATAAATTCGCAAGAATCGATTATCGCATCTCAAGCGCCCAAGAAGTAGATTTGGGCGGGAAAATTAAACTTCGCAAATATTGCTTTCAATTCTTGACATACAATATACAGGCTATAATTATAGCATCAACTGTTCGAAATCGACTTTAGCGCATTTGGTGTATATAACTCAATTCTAAGCGGGAAAATTAATTGCTATTAATTCCAGGCAATCTCTTAATTTTCCCGCCCAAAGAGATTGCACCAGCTCCAGATATGTAATAATTAATTTTTACGTATTTTGTCCTAATGGCAATATTATTTTTAGCCTCATAATATTAATTTCATGCAACTCATCCAAGGTTTAATTTTCCCGCCAAAAACGCTCGTTCTAAATCCGAGAAAAACAATTTCTCTAATTTCGTCGGAAAGCGCTGTTGAAATAGGTGACAAAAATTCCATCCAACAGCAGTTCTCAAAACTGGGCGTGATGGCTAGAAATAGCCACTTGGCTATAAATTGTTTTTACCTCCCTTTATAACATTGATTTCGAAGAGGCAATTCATCTTCCCGCCCAAAGGGCGTTTTGTTGACTCAAAACTATATTTTGCTATACTTGGAAGGGCAATGACCTAATTTTTTCCGGATACGACACATAGTCGTATGCCGGCGTGAACGGAAAATACGCCACATAGTCGTACCCGTTGTCAAGGGTCAATACGACACATCGTCGTATTCCGGAGCCAAGGGAACTTACGCCACATGGTCGTATTCGGTGTAAAGATCAAATACGCCACATAGTCGTTATAGGGGCGAAGTGGTTAAGTATCACCGTGCTGGATTTCAGCTTTTTCAGCCACTTTCTAAAAATCGGTATGGGTCACCCCATAGGGTCGCTCCAGATAAAAATTTTACAAATGTCATTTCATATTCTTCCATTAAGACCCACACGCAACCTGTGTACCAAATTTCAGCTCAATATGACGATTTTGAAAAATCGGTATGGGTCACCCTCCAGGGTCCCTCAAGATGAAAATTTTTCCAACTTGAAGTCATTTTTATCTATTAGGAGGCATTAGCAACCTCTGTACCAAATTTCAGCTTTCTACGACAATTCTGAAATTTTGGTGCATAATACCCCGATACCCCCATAACACTCCGATGACCCCCACCGGTCAACCACTTGACCGATTTCGCCCATCTTCGAACTCGTTTCCTAACTTTGTCCTATACGGATATGGCAAAAATTTCAAGTCAATCGGTTCAGCCGTTTTGGCTCTATCGTGCCGGACAGACAGACAGACAGACAGACAGACAGACAGACAGACGGACGGACGGACATGACGGTTCCATAAGCCCTGACTCGGGCTAAAAAGGGACAAATTATTTTCCAAACTTTGCACATATCACAAAAATCCGAGTGAATTGTATCATGTTTTAAACCCACATACATACTGAGGGAATTTGTCAACTCACGCAGTCCTTTGTAAATCCGGTAACTTACAGAATTTCAAAAATATTTCTGAGGAAATTAGCTCCAAAATTTTTATAAACTTGCTCAGATCAAGGGCGTCTCTTTATTTTGGAAAACTTTACAAAATTATTTTACCAAACTTACCCATTTCACAAGTTACAAATTCCTGCGTGAATTTCAAATTCATTGTGATTGATTGTGGAGTGAGTAATTTTACCACTGTTTTTGTGATGAGATTTCATAAAATTTTATAAATTTGGTAGTGTTTGAAGCCCATTATAAAATAAATGTTATCTGACAGTTCTTATGTAACTTATCACAGGTAGGCAGGCTGTACAATTTGGTTAAAATTATTACAGAATAAATAAAGAGATGTTCGAATTGATAATTTAGGATGCATTTTTGTCCTGATTTTTGCTTTCCAAATTTTGTTTTAATTGCAGATTTTACTACTTTACGAATTTCCTCGAGAATGATGTGATTAATTAAATAGTAATTAATTAAACCCAGATTTCTGTAATCTTCGCAGAACTTTTTTTTGGTAAACTTTAAGACTCGATTTCATAATTTGTAAATTTAGGATGCATTTTTGTCCAGATTTTTCTTCACACCTTTCCAAATTTTTAAAGAATTTGCAGATTTTACCACTTTACAAATTTCTTCGGGAATCAGGTCATTAATTAATAAGTGCTAATTTGTGTCTTGTTTTCTTTCAGCGGAGGACTTGTTGCTGGGGGAAAGTGGAGATATTTTCATGAGGGGAAAGTTTCCGGTGGTGGTGGTGGAGAGATGAAGATTTTGGGGATGGAGTTGGTCCGGCTGGAGGCAGATGTCCCACTCTCCCCGCATCCCAAATCCAATCTTCCTCCCTGGAGGAGGATACAGGAAGGAATAAATCGTCTCAAAAATCCTGGAAATATTGAAGGAAATTTTGTTAGCTTATTTTTTTATGCCTGATTTTTACCGGTGTTGCTTTTGGAAAATTTTAGAGGTTGAGGCAATGATTCACGCAGTAGCAGTAATTGAAATATCTGGAAATTTTCTTAAATTATTAACTATTTAGTTTCATGAATTCGCACAATGTGTAAGGAGGTTAAGACCATCTATAATAGAACATCGTGATATTTAATTTTGAAAAAATTGTAAACGACATGGAAATTGCGTAAACTTACATTGAGACAATTCACGTCAACCTTCGTAACTCCGTAGCCAGGTAAACTTGCGAATATCAGGTTACGAACGAAGAAAATAACTTTATCTTCGTAAGGTTTTGTACCTCCGTAGGTAAAAAATTCCTTAGAGGTGTTGCCAAATTTCGGCAAAAGTTCGTAAGTTTACGTGATTACAAATTGACGAATATTGACGTGAATTGCCTAGTACTTAATTGTTCTTACTATCTGTTACTATTTTCTTGATATTAAACTCTACAAATATTTTGTATCGTTGTCAAACTGTAACATTAATTTAACATTTGAATTTTGATACTTAATAAATTGATATCATTTTAATTTGCAGTATTTTGGGGGGGATCGTGCATACAACTTTTAATGATTTTTTTTTTCATATTTAGATACAATTTCAGGTCTTTTAAATGAGGATGGTAAAAGTACGACATTTTTTTAACCAAATAGTAAAAAATTCGAAATTTTGCAACATAGTAGTGGAAAATTGGAAACATAAAAATGGCCTGTGGGAAAAGAGTTTTCAAAATTTGAACCTGTAATTTTGTCCAAAGAAACAGTTAGAATTTTGCGAAATGTAAATCATTTCATAATAAAAATAATTTTCTTAAATACATCAAAATTTTGCAAATTATTAATTCGCAAAGTTCCCAAAATTTTATAAATAAAATTATACTTTTATTAAAAATGTTGTCCTAAATTTTTGGATAATTTAACTAAGATAAGCATGTAACGTACAAATCGTTAGGTCCCAAAGTTCCCAAAATTTTTGAAATCATACCTTACTTTCACTAAAAAAAGTGTTCTCTCCCAAATTTTTGGGTAATTTATGTAACTCCATTGTTAGATAAGCCTGTGACGTTCTTATCGCAACAAATTCTATCATTTTGAAGGTGTTTTAGTGACAAAGTTGTTGGAATTTGTTACTTTTTACTGTGTGAGATTCTACATAATTTTGTGGGCATGCTTTTTTTCCACGGAGGCCTGGATGGGGAAGCATTATATATTATTAGTGGTTTAAGTAGTGTGTGTGGAGTTGTGTTTTTCTGAAAAATGGATTGTCCGTCAGATTGAGACAGTTGTAATGGAGTAACCGTGTCCTCGTGACATCACCTCACAAATCACATCTCTTCGCTCACTCTCTCCGTATCCACTTTTTAATACGAGAGAGGACCAATTCACACATGAGGAAAGGCTGTGCAAACTGGATGTTAGGCTGAAAGATTCAGGGGGGCATAAGGAGGGGCAGAGTGAGACGACGAGAGATGATATGGGCAACCCGTAAAGAATTGCTAAAAATGGAAGAAAGACTTGCACAATTTTTTGAATATGCAACTTTTTGCGAAGATTTTTGTACAAATTTTGTATTATGAAATAAAGAATATACAGTCCATTTATTTACCATACGACCCTCGACGTCACCACTGCAATGCTATTAGTAATGAGAGTGATGACGTCGAGGATCGTATGGTAAATAAAACAAGAGTAGATCCAAAATTTCAGATATCACCTCACAAATTACATCTCTTCGCTCTCTCCGTATCCACTTTTTAATACGGGACGAGACCAATTCACACATGGAAAAAGGCTGTGCAAAAGGGATGTATGGATGGATGGGTAAGTTTGAGAGGGGTAGAATGAGACGAAATGTATGCACGACCCGTAATAAAATTGTTGTTACGAGTAGCGAGAAAGAAATTGAGGGGAGATGTGCACAATTTTTTGAATATGCAACTTTTTTGAAGGTTTTTGTACACATTTTGCATTAAATACAAAATACAGCTGCAAAATTTGCAAAATTTTAGATAACATAAATCACATCTCTCCTCTCTCCGTATCCACTTTTTAATACGGGAGACCAATTCACTCACATGGAAAAATGCTGTCCAAACTGGATATTAGTTTGATAAGTTGGAAGGGGTGTAATGAGACGAGGAAAGATATGCACTTATGGGAACAAATTGTTTCTACGAGTACCGAGAAAGAAATTGAGGAAAGATTTCAACAACTTTTTGAATGTGTAACATGTGACTTTTGTGAAGATTTTTATAAAAAAACATGTATTACTAAATGCAATAATACATCGAGGCAGTTCACGCAGTGCTTGGTAACATTGTAAACTCCTTAATTTCTACAAACTTCTATAAATTTTCTTTCAATAAATTTGAGAAATACTTCGAAGGATAATTTCCTCCCAAGTTTTGTAAACTTACAAAGCAAGGTTATGAATTTATAAACTTTGCAGACTAAAGAGACGTCCTTGATCTGAACAAGCTTACAAAAATTTGTAAGATAATTGGCTTTCGAAATGTTTATAAAATTTTGCAAAAGTTTGGTAGTTTGCAGAATTTACGGATTTTACAATGTTACCAAGGCCTGTGTGAATTGCCTAAGAAATTCCATGAAAAAATCAGACCGTGGAAGTATTTAGTTTAGAAATTATTATTAATTGTCAATATTATTAATTCACGAATTTCTGATTCTGACGACTTTTTCAAAATGTTTCTTAATATTAGTTCGTTAATGTTTAATCTCGTATATTTTAGTAAATTCACTGGTTTTGACGCCGGGAACTAATCCTTTTAGGAATGACTGATGAATTTAACAAATTAAAGATCCTCATCTTGGACTTGGATGCTGACTGAGATTATTTTGCAAAATGTGCGCAAAATTTCAGGAAATATTTTCAGGAAATATTTTCAGGAAATATTTCAAGGTACACTCACGATAACGTCTTATTTAGCATAACAAGTCATTTAGCGAATTTGCTAAGTTCAAAAAATTTATGTTGTGGGAAGATTCGCAAAGATATTACTTTGCAAATCTCGCAAATCTCCTTGTATAAACACCTGTTTTGATATTGTTTCCATGGATTTCAGCAATTTCTCTTGGTTAGATAATTTGCAAAATAATTTTGCAAAATAAAAACATGTCGATTTGTATGGTAAATTTGTGAAAAAACACCAATTGTTTTCCAGCAAAGGAAATGTTGCAAATTTTGCAAGTCATTTTGCTATGCTTAACTTTTGAGACTCGCGAAACATCCGAAAGTTGACTTTGCAAGTTATATATTAAACATGGTTAAAATGCGGTTCAAAAATTTGTCTAAGTTTGTCGTAGTTTGCATAAAAAACGGTAGGTTTAGACTTAAAACGAAACTTAAGATGGGTCATCATGTAAAACAAATTTTGTTTTACATGATGACCACTCCATTTAGTAGATTAGTTATTTTTGAGGAATATATTCTGACAAAAATTAGAACTGTACAAAATAAAAACCGTGAAATAAATAAGAATTTTATTTTAATCGGGGTAGTAAATTAAAATTAGGAAATTTTCTAGTTTCGTAAAACGATGTTTCAAATAAAAAATTGTATTTATGCCAGTAACAATTTTACAAAAACAGGTGCACCATTATTTTATTTATTGCGTTATGTTTTTAAAATCGAGACAGACAAAACGTATGGATTTTTTGAGTATGGAATTTTTTACATGTTTTCCTGTATCCGATGTTAAATACGTAAAAAAATGTGTCAAAGAGGTGAAATTTATCGTTGTTTTGGGCGACCGACATGTTCGTGCGAATTGTCGAATTAAAAATTGCCAACATTTGTATAAAGTGGGATGTTTACTCATTGCTGAATTATGTCGTCCATTTGTCTCTCAAAAAAAGAATCTTGTACGTAATCCGCAGACTCTTAACTTCACCTGATTCTTCGGTGCGAAATAGAAAAAAACATGCATAGATAATAAATTATCGAAAAGTGTTGTTAAATTTGAAAATATTTTTGTTGCAAAGTTCAAATTTTTTTTAAAACGAAAATGATGTGTACGTTTACATTTTTAGAAAATCTTGTAATCAATGGACACAAAATGGTCGGGTTTTGCTACCAACTTACTAAATTAGTAATAAATTATAATTCGTTACTAAAAAAATCCTTCATCGTTTTAAAATAAATTGCAAATTCGAGTTATGATTCCTACATTTTTTTAAAATTTCGAGTATTTTAAGTATTTCATAATATAAGTAGAATGAGTACAAAAATTTTCAGAAATGTCCATTTTTTTAAATTGTGGCCTTCTTTTCTTTTTATTTTCTAATTCCCACAGCATTTATTCCTGTAGCGTAAATTGACATAATTACGCAATTTGCCGTCATTACTAATATTTACAAAGTTCACAAATAAATAATAATAAGTTTTGATCAGGTACTGGAACTTTCATTAGCAAATAGTTTGTAAAAAAAAATTTTTAGAAATTTTAACATTTACGGAAATTTATCAACGTGTTCGCGAAAACGTCTATAATGCGAGGGAAGTAAGTAATTGATTTTGATTTGCTGGGTAAACTTATGCACTATTTCCAGCATTATCTTTGTGATGCGAAAGTTCGCAAAAATTTTCTCAAACTTTGTCGTGACGTGAGTAGGCCTAATGCATAATCTTGAATACACTAAACTCCACGTACATAAAAAGAAGAGGCAGCTGGATTGTGTATCGTGATGATGATCGGCTCGTTTGTATATATTTTTTGTTATTCTCATCTCCTCGAGATTCATGTGATCACAATGAGAGGCAAAGATTTAGAGAAATTCCGTCACATTTTCTCCCTGCTAAACTAAACCCACCACAGATTCTCAGCCTGCCTGGCACTGTATCAAACTCAACTTTGTCTTCTTCTTCTTTGAGATGAGAGGACTGTGCAAAAGGGTTGTTGATTTTTTTAAGCGAACATAAAATTAATTTGACTCCAGACCTTTCCAACAAAAATGTATACTCAAGTTTTATTACCAAAATTTCTCTTCATAAATAAATACCTTAAATTATGGTCAAGTTTGTCTTTTAAATTTGCATACCTTCAAAATTTAAGCATTAAGAAAGAACTTCATGATTTTTGTCATATTTGGACAAGTTCAAACTCGATTGCAGTTTTTCGAATTTATATTTCTAATAATTCATTATTAGATTGCGAGGTTCAAACTCTTGAAACAAGACAAATTGTTAATTATTGTTATAACATAACACGTGCTCAAAATTTGGTGAAAAATCCACCATGTGCTTTTGAACGTCCTGGTTCCATTTTAAGTGGAGAAACTGTATCAAGTTCAACTTTGTCTTGTTTAAAAAAACAGGAGGACTGTGCGAAAAGCATGTTGTCGATTTACATACATATTTAGGCATCAAATCTTTAATATGATGTAATTTTTGTAGCGAAAAATTTTGCGAAAAGTCGACCACGTGCTTCATGTATGCACATGGTTAAGTATATTTGTGTTCCTTTTGTTGGAAACCGACCAGACCTTTCCCAAGCAGATGAGAGGATGATTAG